AGTCTATGAACATTTTTAATAGATGTGAAATTCCAAGTTTTGCTGAAGACGTAATATTGTTAAGGAAGTTCTTTTGCTCCCCAGAAAAAAAGGAAGCCTAAGTGAAGCTACATTAAAAGCTGTTGAAGAATTGTTTTTTTACACGCATGGTGGAAATGTCAAATGGGCAGATAGTTCGACACAGACGTAGATTGGTGAGGCATGCTTCTCATACTGGGCTGCAAGGGCTAAGCAGTTATCTTTACAGATGTCAGTTCTGCTTCTTCTGTGTATTTTTACAGAGCAGGGAAAGGCACCAAGGACTGGGCTTTATCTTACCAGTATACTTAGGGTTCTCCCTGATGTCACTTAGACAACCTGGAGAAAAAGGCTGTTAAACTTGTACGCAAAAGAGTAAACGGGGGTGAAGAGGAAACTGGAACACAGACGTGCATGCAATCTGTGCAAGTTAGTGCTGAGGAGCCCGGATGGCCTCAGCTCTACCCCTTCTGTACTTGGCTTTGCAACCTTCTTCCCCCCCCTCCCCCCAGTTATTTAAATAGCCTCAGAAAATAATGCTTTCATCAGTAAGTTCCATCACTGAAGAGCTTAAAATGAAGATCCTAAGGAAAGGATGCAACATTAAGCCCTTGTTTGTCCAGTACTTTCATCGTTGCTCAGTAATCCTGAGTGGTATTTTTTTAACCCTGGAAGAAAACCTTTCTGTTGTCCTTTTCAGTTGATCAATTGCATATGACTTTTTTCATTAATTCTTTCTTGTCTCTTGAGTTCTAGCAGAATTGCTTTACATCAGCTGAACTTATATAACTGTCCATGTGTGTTTTCTTAGTCCAAGGTGAATGTGAGGTGTTTGACCTTTTTCATTGCAGGGCAAGTCATTTTACCTGGCCTTTGCCACAGATGTAGAACTTGCATGTGGACAGTGACTAAGGCTTAGCTCAGTTGGAGCCTCAGTTCCGCAGAGACCAAACTGCACTGGACAGGATGAAATGTATCAGGGTGGTCTGAGCTGTTCTTGATAGGGCTTCTGTCTCTTGAGTGTCATACTGATTTCTTTGACAAACACAAACATTTTGAATAAAATAGCTACAATTGAACCTTCTGCCTTCCATCCTGTACTTGCAATTACCAGTTAAACACAGAGAGAAGTAGAACCGCATATAGCCCATCTTTAAAAAAAAGTTTAATTTTCTATTTCTGTGGGTAAAGTTGTTTGTACTGTGCTTCTAAGTAGCTAGCTGCTAAAGGAATAGTACTGAAGTCATCGGTGAAATCAGTTATGGGTAGTTTGGAAGGATAAAACCAGTGAGCCAAGTTAATTCCTGGATTGTTGATTTCAGATTAGAAGCATAAGGGGAAAGTTTGGCCCATTTTGCTTGTATATAGCTATATTGGCTACAGATGCAAAATGCAATTTGAAAACTTGATAGATACTTTATGCTGTGCTTTATGGCTTTTTGGGTGGTCTGTATGGAGTTTACAGACATGAGACAATGCATTTCTCGCTGCCTGGTAGCTGGATTTCGGTTGGATACTTGGGAGAAATTTCCGTGCTAATGCCAGCATTGAATTTGGCACAGGATTTGCATCATTTATAGCAATTGCTATGCTTGGCTGTACTTCTGTTCATATAATCCTAATTACATGCTTTATTATGAAATTGTTGTCAGTTATTAGATTCTTACTCAATTCCAATCTTCCTGGAAATGTAGAAACGCATTTTATTTCTGACCTAAGAAGACCTCTTGTCCTTATGGGGCATGATGAAACTTCATTTCCCATGGTCGTTCTTTTCTGCGCTTCTGTACACTACTGTACCCCATTGTCAGCTGAGAACTGTAGCTTCCTAGCACAAGTGAGTGTGGTCTTTAGATTGCCTTGCTCTCTTTTACAGCTGTTGCTTTTATCCCTCATGGGCCTTTCAGTCTCCTGTGGGCTGAGAACGTAAAGCCTTGTTCAGATTCTAAGACCATGATGCTCTTCTAGTAGATGCAAAATAAGTTCTTTATTACCTTCACTCATTTTTGGCTTAAAAAAAAAAAAATCCTATTCCACACAGCCGTATAAATGCCTTGTCAGGAGACTGGCATGTCAGACATGGCCTGAGCAGGATCAGACCTACCAACCTGGTTAGATTTGAAGGGTTAGATCTCCAGAACCACAGCCATTGGTAGCTCTACATTGTGCTTCAGTACAGACACCCTCGCACGGGGGGGCATCATGATGATGTTGGCAGAGGCCAACATCAAACCACAGTTAACACGGCCATCTGGTCCCAGCTAGTTCTTGGTGGAGATGCTGGAGTATTTCTACCTTGTTCTCTCTAGCTGTTTTGTCCTGTTTTTCTCTAATATTCTAGCACTTCTTCATCTCACTCCATGAAAAAGAAGAGAGTTTTTCTGTATCAGCTGGTTACCTTGGTGAGTAAGGCTTTAAACTAAGGTGATGGGAGGTGAAGGCAACCTGTAGGTTAGGGCTCGGAGAGGCTACCTGAGTGCCAAGGCAGGCTCTTGTGGCCAGTATTTTCAAGGGACGAAAGGGCAGGAGTGGGATTGCCCCTTTCTCTAGCAGTGAGCTGTGCGATCATCACACCCTGACCATACTGTATTTTAGACTCAGTTGTACTTGTCTTTGATTTAGTGAGTCTGTGTTTTATTTTGTTTTAAATTAAATACATAACTCCAGACAAGGATTGCCTTTTTCTGCAGCTGGGCTATGTGTGTTTGGCTTTCTCTAGGTATTTGGGGTTTTATCTGTCTTTTGTGAATCCAGACCGCTTCCAGCTGGCATGTGGGCTGCGCTGTTGTGTGTCACAGTGACTTGTGGCCCCTGTATTCATAGCAATACAGCTAAATGACATTGGAAGGCTGTAACAAGACTCTGATTTTTTGCTAAAAAGGATGCGAACTTTGAATCTGTAATTTAGAGACTCCTAGTGTCTTTCTTGGGGGAGCAGCATGTGACAGAGATTCATTTCCAAGCCAATAGTAACGCTGTGACTTCCAGAAATCCCAGTGAGTGTGACATGGCCTGTGGTGAGGGCAGCATTTCTCTGCCTGCAGTAGTTTGCACATTTCACCAGCTAGCAAGAGGAAGGAGCATAGATGCTTCTGGTTTGATGTTACAGCCTGAAAGGATAATTTACCCCCTACTGAAAATCAAGAACACACCTGTGCTTCTAGCTTGAAACCAGAAATGTTGTTTTGTTTTGTTATACTTCATACATTTTTTGGAAAGTTCCTATTGTGAGATAGTTGACATATATAATTTTACAAGATTACTTTATACCTCTGTTAGTAATCATCAGTGAACATCAAAAGTAACCACTTTAAACCTGGGGAAGGTGAAATGCATGTGACAAACAGAAGGTAAATCTTCCGACATTTTAACATTGCAATGGAGGTATGTCATCTGTGGCACTCGGCTTTTAGTATGCATATGTTTTCTGGTGCTTTGGTTGCAAAGCTCATAAAGTGCTGACTTAGTAGAAAGCCCAGGATGATGTAGTAGTTATGAGGTGATGTATCTCCTGCTGCATTTCCTCTTCTTGTATTTCCTGTTGGGAAGAAGGGAATGTTAGCTTGAATGGGATAAGACTGATGACAGGTTGGTCAGTGGCTGTAGATGTTTAAAAAAAACCCCAAAACCTCTGTTGCTGTTTGCTCAGTATGGATGTTGTTTTGGGAAGGAGGAAGGGTTAATAAAAATTGAAGGCATGTATTTTTTTCCCAGAATGGATACCTTCCTATGTACAATCCTACATGCGGAGGAGTTAAGGTTGGACAGGAAATAATTTCTTGTAGGAGGAATAAACTGGGAGAATGTTATGAGGAAAGCAGCACATGGGGGAAACACAACTGTCAGTATGTGGAAGGTGGAGGAGAGATGCACAGGTGCATTTCTAACATCGAGTACAACAGGGATGGTGGGTGACACGCGGGTGCTGGCAGAGAACAGGTAGTACGTGCCAATACCAAGTGCACACATGTTCTGCAACTTCTGTTACCTAAGTTATGTCAAACATAATTCTTCCCTTGGCTCAGGAATTAAAACTTAATGAGACTGAAATCAATGGCACAGTTTACACTGACGTATCTGTTGCAATCGTTTTGTCTTAGGTACGTGTTTAGGCTTTCCTGTTCTGCCAGTGATAGCATGAAAAGCTTGTGATCTTGTTAGGTAAACTACTGCAGCAGAAATTCTGGTGGTGTTTCATAAGGAAAGCAAACTTCTCTATTTCCACTGAGCTCTTTCTAAAAGGCTATGAGAGGTTTTTTTCTTCTTGTTTCTTTTAATACATCCTGATCATTAAGCTCTGGAGGGATTTACAAGATCACAATGTATTCAAAGATGCAGAATGCAAAGCTTACTTTATACAAGAGTTACAGATGTTGTGAGTGATAACTTTGTTCCTGTAGCTGTTCCCTGTTTGTGGCATAAACTGTGACTTTGCAGTTTCCTATTGAACAACATCACCTGAACTTGAAGCGTTTTTGCCACCATGAGTGACTTTCTCTTGAAGAAGGGCTGCTTGATTACGAAGTTCTCCGTTCGAATATACAAGGAATTAAGAAAAATTTCAAAGCTCTACCATGTCAGGACCTAGAAGGAGCATTTGTCATACAAATTACTGGCAAAATGATTTCTACGGCAAGCAGGAGAGCTTTGTATTTCACTGCATGCGTGGTTTCGGTAGCACTTTGTTTTTATGACTACAGATATCCTGGTTAATTCTAGTGATTTCTAAATTAATGATTACCCATGCGTTCTCTTACTGTAGTATTTCCCGGAGATTCAGAAATGTTAATTTGGGAATACCTTGAAGTAACAATAATCTGTGATAACAGCTGCTAGCAACTGGAAATTACGATATAGCTATTTTCAGTTAGAAATAATTATTGCCCTTCCATAAGGACTTGCTGCTTTTTGATTTTGGTGCCTTTTGCAGGGGAGACACTTGCAGTTTTTATGATACTGTGTTCCTTGCTTTTGTTTTCCAGAGTATGACAAACTGGGCTTTCTCCTGAACCTGGACTCAAAATTGTAAGTAGAACAGTAGGATTCTTCTTTGTTTCTATAGTTACAGATTTCTGTTGTAAGCAACTTTGGTGTCACCTGGGCAGTTGGCTCACTGGACTATGCACTTCTACCTGGGACAGCCAAGTCCTGCAGCAACCTGGCAATTGTGACTTCTTTCCTTACACTAGGCTTTGCTGGCCAGCTTGGATTGTGGTTCACTGTCATTAAGTCCTTAATGACTGATCAAGAAGCTGTAAATGTCCACCTGAAACCATGACTGTCAGTCTGCTCTAGATATCCTACTGTTAATCTTCCAAATGAGGAAAAATGTATTCAACATTTGAAAGCAGGAGGACTGTCAATCTGCAATGTACTGGGATGCTTAGAAGTTCATATTTCCGTTCCACTTGTTTCTTTAAAAATGGATACTACTGTTTTTGTTTGTAAACTGGGGTGGAAAGAACCTCAACACAAGGCAGTGACCGTTTGCTATGTCAGAAGAACGACAAAGTGCTGAATGATAATACTCGTCATGCTTTGTGCCATAAATCAGGCAAATTGAGAGTGAACTTCTTAACACTAGGGGTCACTAGTGACTCTATTTCTGAGGTCAACAGCCCCGCAGAAATTTTGGTATTGGGAGCAAAAAAAGATAACTAAAAACCTTCTGCCTCTACTACTTAAAAAGGTACTGAGGCAATCCAGTGGCTTTGAATGACTTGGGGATGCATCCCCTGTACAATGTATCATGTTAGTATAAAAAACATCCTTAATGTTTAGAAAGTTTCATTGTATTTATAGGGTGTAACATTCAAGTTTTGAATTTAGTTTTCCTGAGCAGCTTGGGAGCTTCTGTAATGAAATAAAAGCCCCATAAGTGTGTTGGGAACTGCCGTTTGCAGGAACAAGAAAGTCTCTAGGTAGGAGCTTCTTTCACAGAAGCAGGTGTGTACATAAACTCAACTATAGTAATTTATCTGGCAAAAAGGTACTGTAGAAGAATACATATGAGAAAGAAGGAATATTGATTTCCCCCCCCCCCCCCCCCACCAAAATATTTATTTCCCCCCCCCCCCTCCCCACCAAAGGCTCTGTATCTTATTCAGTGTGCAGGAAGGGTGGCGTTTACTGCATGAATAGCTGGTCAAGGCTTCTTTGTGGTCTCGTTTAATGTAGCGTTCTGTGCGGATTTTGTTGCGTGCTGTCTGGAACCTGTGCTTGTTGCACAGTTACCAGTTTTCTTGATTGAATTTTCTGTATTGGGACATCCTTGCGATTTAGAGACAGTAGTGTATGTACCCTTACAACACTTCGGGATGAGATGATACATTATCTCCAATTTATACATGTAGAAGTCAAAGCAAAGAGATTACTCCAAAATTGTGAAGTGGGTAAGTAACCTTTGAATGAACTTCTTGGTCTTGGTAAGGGAAGAATGGTTTTTAACTTTTTAAGTAGTCTGATTTTTGTTTTTTTTTCCAGACTACTTTGCATATCTTATAATGTCCAATTTCTTGAACACACACATTGACTGTCCACACACTTTTGGCATATCAGGTTTGGATACCAGCCTGTGCTGTGTCCAAACCACTGCTTCAGTTTTGCTCTTCCTATTCCTCCTTCTGTGTTCACTGTCCTTTTCTTTGTTGCTTTTAGCAAGTCCCATTGAGTCTTCCTTCCCCTTCAAGCCTCTGTGCTTTTTTTCTCTTCTTTGCTGACTTATCTACTTCGATTACAGCTCTGAAACATGGCCTGCTCCTTTTTATACTTTAGCTTGAGGACAAGTAAAGTTTTTACCTGCTGGAGGGCCTCTAAAACCCTAGAACTTTTTTTATTAAAATCCCCTCATGATAAAATCTCTCCATTATTTTTGATTAAAGCAAGATTTTGTTGACTACTTCTAAAAAAAAGATATTTATATTGCACCTTAAATGTGCATATTTGCTTTTCAAAGCCATAAAGTTAGCTTCTGGAAAGGCTTGTAATAAAATCAGCATGATTAAAATAAATACTATGAGGTTAAGTTAAGGAGCAAAGAAAGCAAGTACTATACATAGGTGAAATCACTTTTTTTTTTCCCTGTAATTGCCCTTTGTTGATTTTAGTTTGGTTTTTTTTCCCTTTTTTGTGGTGTTGTTGTTTGTTTTTCTTCTGTGGAAGTAAAGCTGGCCCTGCTTTGAGAATGGACCTGATGACCTGCAGAGGTGCCATCCAGCCTGAATTATTCTATGATTTTTTTAGCAAGGGAGCCAGAAAAAAAGATGAAAATACCATAAAACATACTAAATAAATTTTGAAATAAAAATGGATGACAGCCTAGAGGAATTTGCTGCTGTTCCACAAGTTCACCATGTGTGGTCAGGGTACCAACTACGTTTTCTAAGTACACACTGAATTCAGTGCTTTCTGCGACTCAATCAAGATGGTACCATCATAGAAGCACTTTCTGGTTAAAAAAAATTTGCTTGAACTTGAAAGGGATAATATGTTCTGCACTGGTGACTTTATTGGCAGAAATAATTTAATTATGTCTGTTGTGATATAATTGTTCTGGTGGAATTTTGCAGTAGATCATAACTTTATAGGGTTCACTTAATTGACAGCATGTGCAAGTCTAGTGTGACAATTAGTTTCCTCTTTTTTTTTTTTTTTTTTTTTCCTTAATCTTTCATTTGTTCAAAGTGTGTTCCTGGCTATGTTAGTTGATGTCATTTAAACTAATGACCTGGAGGACTAACATTTTCTACAAAGGTAGATCTGCATTAAAACTTCAGTGCTCTGACTTGCATTTTAAATTACATTATACAGAGAAAAATGTTTGACATGCAAAGGCAAATGGACACACTACTATGTATTCATCTTTAATTTTTTCATGTATTACTACTTCAGTGTCCTCTACCCTGTAGATGTCCAGACCATGTTATTCAGGTATAATACATTCTGTTGTGGTTACAGCAACGTAATGATTCTGTTCACTGGTTCTCTTTGAGTTCATGGTAATGAAACCAGATGTGTTCACTTTGGAAAGACAAGCTGTCAGAAGTACTTGAGAAGTGTTTTCTGTGGGAACTGCATGAGGCATGCCTTGCTATAGCATTAGGGAGGCTGGTATGGCCAGAAATCTCACCTGGAAGGGGATGGCCAGTTTTAAAGATACTGCACAGTTGCTTCATGGAAATGACTGGTTCTGACCAGATGTTTTGTTGCTCTGAGCTTGTCAAAAAGGAGAATATCAAAATGGAAGATGCTTTCTTTCTGCTGCCTGTGCTTAGGCTAACTCTTCTTTGGAAAGTCTTTAGCTTTAAAAAACAGGATGATATCCAGGTAGGGATTGTTCACAAATTACAGGATGAATGGAAAGCTGAGGACATCTGTAAGCAACATAGTTCATAAATTAGTTGTTTCCTTAGTTAAAACAAGACCTAAGACTGCTCGGGACCAGATTAGTGAAAAAGATCTGTGCAAGAGGAGTTTATCTTTTAGTTATGCTTGTACCAACCATAACATCATTACCAAAATTAGAATAACAAAACAAAATACGCCCCAAGTATAGAAACAGGCCAGTTGCATCCGTTTCTCCCAGGTAAAGAGGATCCCCAAGCAGCAGAGCCACATACCATTTTAAAACCCTTAAGAATAAAATCCCACATTTATTGGTTGTGTAGAGAAGCATACTTATACAAAAAATACGATATAATTCATAGGTCTTAATTCTTGGAGGGGCCAATAGTTCCTGAAAAATTTAAGGCCATCAATCACATTAGTGACTCAGCCAGTGGATTACTAGGTGCCACCAAATGCTAAGATTTGCAGTTGCTTGCTAACATCTGTGCTTGGCAAAGGGTTGCATGCTTTTATTATTAAATATTTATATTGTAGTAGTTCTTTGAGGCTGTCCAGGTCCTAGAAACAAGAGTCTCATTCACTACAAATTCTGAATCATTCTCTGAGCAGATCTTATGTTTGCATTGAATTCAATGAGGATCAGCATATGATCATGTAGTTAATTATAGATAGTATCTTAACGCATATTTAGTGGGCCCAACTGAAGGTTGCATGGTTGTTCTTTATTCTGTCACTTACTATTCTGTGAATGCTTGGTTTAGTCACCTTAACAATTACTTTGATTATGCCTTGGCATGTTACAAGTGTAGATTCACTTGTCTTGCACACATGAAAAGCGCCTTTTTTGTAATAACCCGTGTGATCTGGGGACTCTTCCCTTCTGTTGGTTGCCCTCATGCTTCTATACCAGCTTTCCTTACTCTGCCAGCATACCATTTGCTCGGTGAGATGGAAGCTAGGGACTGCTACTTCTGTCCTCATTACAAACTCATCCTTCAAAAGCTATTTTCAAAGGTATTTCAGCAATTAGGTTGGTGATTTGATGCTTCTAAACAACAGCCAGGAAAAAAGCTCCCCTTGAGTGACGGTGGATTTTTTCACCTGCTGCCACGGTCAGCTCGAAACCTTGGATGTTAAAATCTCGACTGATGAATGATGGAGGAAGTGTCCCAGGGTTTGACTTTGACTGGGCAAAAACCACTCCCTCAAAGTTTTGCAACTGTTAGATGATGTGCTTGAGCTTACTGGAATCATTCTTCACTTAAACAAAAAGATAGTGGGTATTATAATGTATTAAATTGAGAGAGAAAGTAAATATTTTTAAAGGTAGAAACAGGCAAAAAAAATTGCTATCTCAATTAGAAAGATGACTATGAAATCAGTATGATTGACCACAATAACATAATACTAACATAGTTAATATACTGTATTTATAGAATGTATGGTATATATTTTATATTGTGTACTTTGGGAATTTTTAGGCAATACTTAATTAAAAGGAAGAATATTTTTTCCAGTGGGCTCTGTGCTTTGCTAGACATTTTGTGATACTGTGTATTTACATGTTTTTCCAATATTATAGAGTAAATTTGTGAGGTACAACAAAGATTTTTTTTTTTTTTTTTGAATATTCATGATAATTTCAAACTTCACTTTAAAAAGAAAAAGAAAGAAATTGA